CACCCACAGTGGCCGTCTCACGAACGGCACAATCGCGAGTTATTATCCAACGAAACGACGTATCGTACATTTTTCTCACCACAACCACGATTGCCCTTCTGCCACGAGGGGAACCCTCTACCATACTATAAATTGACATTCGCCGCTCGAGTGCCGCGATCCTTTTGGTCGCAGCACTTCAGGGTCCGCGGGCGCCCCGGGATTCGGCCGGTCGTGGCTGTCAAGGGCCGGCGGTTCAGGTTCTTTCGGCGCCGGGTTCCTCTGCCCGCTCCCCAGCGCGGCCGCCAGGCTGGTGCGGACGCCCGCTTTCAGCCTTGCTCCCGCGCGCCAGCTGGGGGCCGGGGGCCGGCGGGCCGGAACGGGGACGCGGCGAGCGAGGCGGGTCCGGTCGCTGGCCCTGCTCCTCCGCGGGGAGAAAACAACAAACTACCGTAACATGGCCGCCGCCTCGCCGCCGCCGCGGTGCACGCCGGGAGGATGGCGGCCGGAAGGCGCGGCGCGGGGGCGGGGGCTAGGGCCCTCAGAGGCCGCGGCGCCTCCGAGCCTCCTCCGAGAGGCCGAGGCCGAGTGCGGAACAAGAACGGGCTGGCGGCCACCCAGCTCGGCTCCACAAACCCAAACGTTTGAAGCGGGGGCGGGAGCGGCTGCCGGTCGTACTTTGGTCCCAGGTTCTGTCGTAAGCGCTTTGCAGCAGGTGCCGCGCCGTGCTTTACGGCAGGCGGATCTCCCGTCGACAGCGGGAGCGAGTAGGCCGCGCGCGCCTCGGTGGGGCCCGAGTTTAGTGTCAGTGTTTGAACAGGGAAGTGGGGAGCCGGGGCGGGAGTAACTGGCCGAGCTGACGCGGAAGGGAGCACACAGTCTCGGGCTCCGTCCGTCTGCAGGGCCGCGTTCCCGCGCATGCGCACTGCTGGACCCGCCGCCGAGCGCGCGCAGCCGGGGTCTGCGTTGGGGCAGGTGCGCGTACCGGGTGCACCGAGCCCAGCTCTGGGTGCTGCCCTGAGACTCGTTTAGGTACCGGGGTTTAAAGAAGAGCCGGAGTCTGCATTTCTGAGCAGCGAAAAGCTCATAAAACGAGTCAGTCATAAGTGGCCTGGAGTAAAGGGTATTGGGGTCCAAGGCAGTGACCAGGGAAGGCTGAAAGCTCCTGGGATCAGGCGTCCAAAGAAGGCTGCCTGGTGGTTAGCATTTGGGGCGAGGAGGGGAGGATGTCATGGGATCTTCAAATACAGACTGCAAACATTGATTCCAAAACAGTCATGGTCGGGGAGATGGGGAAAGGAAAGGGTAATCTTACGTAGAGAGAATACTGAACAGAGGCTCAGCTGTCGAGTGGCTTGTGTGGCTGAGAACTGGAAGCGGACCCCGCGGCGGCTGAGTGTTGGGATAAGCTGGGAAGGCCTGGAAGGGCCAGAAGGCATTGTCTGAAGCTGTGGCGTACAGAACGGTTCTAACAGCAGAAATTACTTGTAGGATTTGTGTTTTAGAAAGATGGTTCTGACAACACGAGAGAGAATAGGCAGCGTGGGTAGGCATGAACGGGAGGTATTCATCCCAATTAGTAACAATTGCAGCAGTCCCTGCAGGAGAAAGGTTCCTGGATGTATAGAGATGGGCAGGTGAGGAAGCAGTGTAATCAGAGGTGAATGGTAGCAACAACTGAACAAATGAAAACTCAGACACAGCCAACAGTACGGTGGTTACCAGAGGGAAAGATGGTGGGGGAGGTAGTGCGGGATGAAGGGAATCAAATATATGATGAAGGAAGAAAATGTGGGTGGTGGGCACCAATATGCAGATGATGTATTATAGAATTGTATACTTGGAACCTAGGCAATTTTATTAACCAATGTCACTCCAACAAATTAAAAAATTTTAAAGAAGTTTAAATGTTTAAACTTTTTAAAATCAATCTTTTTCAAACATTCAATTAAGAAGGAATATATCATGGGCAATCAGTTCCAAATCCAATACATCCCGTTCGTGTTGGGTAGCAGATACATTTAAAGGAATTTCAGAAAATAGAGTACAGTGCCGCCCCCCCCCCCCAAAAAAAGTTAATGGTAGAATCTTGATGGCCAAAACAATGTTTACTTTAAAACTTTTTCAACTTTTATATATGTTTGAAATTTGTCATAATACAATGCTTGAACAAAATAAACATTCCTTGTTTTATAACTAATGTAATACCTAAAAAACAAAAGTTTACAAACAACTTTGACTCAACTGCATGTAATTGATGCAAAAAAATAAACAATATGCTTGGCAAGCAAAGTCAAATAACTGTCTCCATCACAAAGCACATGAACACATCTAGGTTTTTATCATTATTGATTTTTTGAGAGAGAAAGGAAGGGGGAGAGAGAAAAAAACAAACATCAGATTGAGAGTGATGCCTCTGGCAGGGTATCTAACCCAAAACCTGGGTATGTGCCCTAACTGGGAATCGAATGGGCGACCTTTTGGTGCACTGGACAATGCCCAACTAACTGATTCCCACTGGCCAGGGCTAACACACCCAGATTTAAAATGGCTTACATACCTAATCACTTTTTTTTTTTCATCCAGGATGGAATTTCTACCTCAAGATATTTTCCAATATAGCTCCACTGGTGATTTTGAGAAGGATGCTTCAAAAAAAATAAATTCACAAAGCTGCAACAATCTCATAGATACTTTGTAGCCATATTATACTTCTGGAAAGACATGTATCTCAGTTACGAACCACCTGAAACTAAATTTCTCTAAGACTAAAGTCTCTAAACTTTTCTGATCCAACACCCATTGGAAAAATGTTTAAGCCTGGACACCAAATATTTGAAGATCTTGATAAATTACTGTGAGTAAAGGTTTAATGAACCCGTCTATCTTCTCTACAGACAAATACCACTTTGAGTAGACTTTCTGCCTTGTTCTAGAAACCTGAGAAAGGTGGGATGTCAACTGTGTTATTCAGTAACACGGTGTCACAAGTGCCCTCTGGCTGGTTAACTGCTGCTGGCTGCAGAGGAATGAATAATCTCTAGACATCTGTCAGGAAGCCATAACCTAGGCTCTCTTTACCTGAGTGTGGAGAGCTAATAAACACAGGTAACTATTACAAGAGATATTGGTCCCCAGGGTGAAGGGTTTCTAAGCCAGAGCAGCTCCCACACCCTAATCTTCTTGCACCTTGTGGAGAGCGGCTATAGCGTTTGGACAGGTTCAAGCCTCAGACCGACTTGTGGCAAAGCCACATACAAGTCCCAGCTTGGAGGACAAAGTCCTCCCGGCACAAGTATAGCCAAAAGGCTATGGTTGTAAGGTTGACCTTAGAGTCCGACCCTGCAGTCCTCAGGTAGCTAAGGGATGTGAGCTGCTGCGGGTGCAGCAAGTGCTGCCAAAACAAGGCTTGATAGCGTTCAGAGACTGGCAACAACAGGAAAGAAGCAGATTTGAAACTTGCAGGAACATTGTAAACATCTGCCCTTATTTTGCTTTGTGTGATCTGACTATAAAATAAAGCTTCTGCTTACAGGCTGTGTCACTGTTTCCTCATCCAGGCACAGTGACCCACCTGGCCCCAGCTGTATTCTCTTGTGTGTTTTCTTTAATCCTTCACCGACCCTCCTCAGGTTCACCCCTGGCTGTGCTGGACACAGTTCACACCTGAGTTCCACTTTGGGTGCCAAGTAACAGTTCATATGTGGGGAGCTCATGCACATGTGTATGGACTGCAGCAAAGAGCGCCTAATACTGCACTGAGGGACTTTCTCCATCTTCCTAAATGAAGCTGTGCCATGTGTGACATTATATGAGTGCAAATGCTAGACCTGAGTAGACCTCCAAGTGAGCACTTAGGATCTCATACAGATCCTAGTGAAAATGTAACAGCTCAGCTTTGTTTTTAGTTAAAAGTGAAGACAGAAGCTTTCCTCTTCTGTCAATATGATGAACTGGAAATTCTAGGGCCCCTCCCTCCTGCTACAAAACAGATTCTGCAGAAAACACTTGTGGTGGTTGTATTACTGGGTTTTAGACATTAAAATTTCAAGGGAGCAAGAAAACAAAAAAAAGCAAGACCCTGAGCAATAAGCAGTGAGCATATAAGAGAGGCAGGGTTTCCCTAAGGCAAGGTACCCATTAGCAGTGTTGATAGGAAGTGCGTTCTTGGCCCCTATTGG